TATTTTCAACTCATTTTTTCATCTTTTTAGTGAAAATGACATAATACAACTTCTAATAGTATTTAATACCAAAATAACCAACATATATATATGATTTGTTATTATTTTAGTGATCATGGAGTTTTTTATAGTATCCAATCAGATTCAGTCAGACCTAACATATTTTTAATCTTTCTTCTCATTTTTGTCCCCTTCAAAAAATTGTAATATATCTTTTAAAGATGTTTAAGATTAGAGTTACACTATGAATTATCTATTACTATTTTATTAAATTGAATACTACATGTGTGAGGTCAGTTATACCTGTTAAAATGTTTTAGGCTTTAAAATAAAATATCCTAGATAATTCTTACTTATTATTTGCTCACTCTTATTTAGAAAAGTATATATGCTTATTGTCCAAATATCAATATCGTTGTTAACTATTGTTACTTTAGAAATTAATAGTTTCTATTTGGTTATTACCTTTATAAAGAATGGTTGACAAAAAAATCTAAAAATAAAAAATAAAAAAAAAGGTAAGTGGTGATTTTACATAGGAACCTTTGTTAACTTCTTACCTATTAAATTACGTGATTATCATTCAAAATAATATTTTTGTTGATTTAAGTCTAAATATTTTATATTCATAAGATACATTTAACAACTAAATGTGTAGATATATGTTTTTAAACACTATGAATTATCTATTACTATTTTATTAAATTGAATACTACATGTGTGAGGTCAGTTATACCTGTTAAAATGTTTTAGGCTTTAAAATAAAATATCCTAGATAATTCTTACTTATTATTTGCTCACTCTTATTTAGAAAAGTATATATGCTTATTGTCCAAATATCAATATCGTTGTTAACTATTGTTACTTTAGAAATTAATAGTTTCTATTTGGTTATTACCTTTATAAAGAATGGTTGACAAAAAAATCTAAAAATAAAAAATAAAAAAAAAGGTAAGTGGTGATTTTACATAGGAACCTTTGTTAACTTCTTACCTATTAAATTACGTGATTATCATTCAAAATAATATTTTTGTTGATTTAAGTCTAAATATTTTATATTCATAAGATACATTTAACATCTAAATGTGTAGATATATGTTTTTAAGTGATTTAAAAAAAGTGACCAAATCTTTACAATTCACGATTCGATTCAATTCGCGATTCGATACAAGACCATTTCGATTCACGATACGAATCCCGATTTGACAACTATGGTAGAAATTTAAAAGAAAAAGGGTTTTAATATGTATTAGATGAACTCACATACACACTTAAAATTTTAAATCGGTGTGAGTTTCAAATAAAATGCGTTGAATCCAGATGCATTGCTTATTACATGATTTTCTTCAAGAGTACCTGATTAACTCTTACTCTCAAATTTTACTAACAAGAAATGGACCTTCAACTTGGTGTTTTGTTTCAAATCCAACTCACATTCTTTAGAGTTTTGTTTTTGTTTTTGTTTTTTTATTTTTTTTGGGTTTTATTTTGCCTTTTTAGATATAAATTTCTGGTAAGACCATCTCCAACGGTGAACCAAAATTGATATCAGATTTAAATTTTGATGAAAAATATACTTTTCCATGCTCCAACCGTTGCATCAAATGAATATCAAAATGAGAAATCAGCAAAAAAAGTATCAAACTGAGAACAAGTTCCGGATTTTACCAAATCACTGTTACTGACCGTTGAAAGAGATACATCGGTTCCCTTTGAAATAACTAGGTTCAAACCGGTCAAAATAGGTTGAAACAGGTAAAAAAAAATAAATAAAAAAAAATTACCCAAACCGGTCGACCGGTTGGTCAAAAAAAAATTGCCCAAACCGGTCGACCGGTTGGTCAACCGGCCGGTCGACCACCCGGTCGACCACCTCCCTAATTTTGCTTTGATGCTCACCGTTGGAGCACCTCGTATCAAATTGAAAAAATCGTCATTTTTTTCATCAGATTTGATAAAAAAAGAAGTTAAGCGTTGGAGATGCTCTAAGAAAGTATTTTGCTTTTTGTACTTCAGCTTACACTTATTCATATTTCCCATGACCTAGTTTAGTGAAGACACAAACAAAATTTGTCATAAATAGACTAGACCTATTGCCAGAGCTATACATTCGAGTAGAGTTGAAACAATCAGACTCAAATCAGCATCCTGAAATTACTCTATTCGTCTCAAAATATTAGTTCTTTATTTTATTTTTTATTATCTTAAAATATTAATTTATTTTCAAAAATTAAGGACTAAAATAATATGAATTTCCTATTTTGTCATTCTTTTAAATTCATTAACAATATAAAGAGTACAATTATGACAATTGATATTCTCCAAAAAATATACTATCAAAGGGTAATTTTGAAAAATTAATTTTTTTTTAAAGTGTAATAATTGTACTATCAAAAAAATTAGATTCCCCAAAAGAGACTATTATTTTGGGATGGAGAGTATATGAAATTAATCTTAAATGAAGCATTGAATGTACACACCAAGCTTTTGAATGATGTTATTGTGAGAATATTATGCTAATTATGTAAATATATTATACTGACTGTGTGAATATTAGATTGATTGTAAGAATATAGATTTATTCTTATTTCTTTTTTTAGATTAGGTTTATATAATTCGGTTGTACTCTTTGTATTATATACAATTGAATATATAGATTATTATTCAGAAACTTACATGGTATTAGAGCTTCTCTGGTTCTAATCTTTGGTTTGCTCAAGATTACCCATCACTGGTTTGTCGGGATTCAACCTATTGGTTCATCCCATCTGTTCATCACTTATGTTCATCGTGACTCATCAAGTCATTTGATTCATCTGACTTATTTGACCCATCTGAGTTCGTTCGTTCAACCCGTCTGGTTGGGTCATATGGTTAGTTGGTTCGAAAGACCCATTTAGTTGCTTCGTCTCCTCTGTCCATGGGCTTCTCTTTATCACATCTGGTTACTGATTCGTCGTATCCTCTGCCTCGCAAACCATTCACGAAAACCCTAACTGTTTGTTCGTGATCTCTCTCGGTGCTCTAAGTCGCGATCTCTTTAGTTTCGAAAATCCCAACATTAGGCTGTCGCTGGACTTGTGAAGTTGGGTCATCATCATCTCTCGACTCATGAGGTTGGGTCATCGTGACATCAAGATGCATTGTCTCTCTCTGCTTCGACTTATGGTTCTCTAGTTGGTTCTCCTTCATTCTCTTTGCAAGTCTGCTCGTAAAGATTGGTTATGAAGTTGGTTCATTAGGGCACCTAGTTTATCAAGTCATTGGATCTCTGGTTTGGTTGTTTTGGTCTATTTTGAGTTTATTACACTCAAACCCCTTAAATTTTTGGTTATTACTCTTTGACCCCTAGTTTGGCTATTTCGATTCTATTTTGGATTTATTTTACTTGAATCGCTCAAATTTTTGGTTATTACGATGTCTCTGGCTTTTGATGAGTGTGCTTTCTGTCATTAAAGGGGCAATTGGAAGTACCACTGTCCCAAGAAGGGACATTCATCTACTCCACAGTCTCAGTCACGTTTCTGAACTTCTACTCAGAGTTTTTCAGACTCCAGTCGTTTATACTACCTTTGCTCCGACTCCTGCTCATGACTTGGATTCCTTGAGTGCTTTGATTTCTCAACTTCAACATATATTGTTTACCTTCTAGCCCTCCCCATCTTCCTTAGTTATTTCCTCTCTTCATTCAGGTTTGCTTGGGTCTTCTTCAGGTATCTTTTCGTCTGACTAGATTTTTTATTCTGATGCCTCTTATCATATAACTCCTCATCTCTCCTTACTCTAAAATTACACTCCTCCTCTTGGCCTTCCCTATGCCTCTAAACAGGTTTGTCGTCTTTGGCGTACTCTGTATGGTTTGAAACAATCTCCCCGTGCTTGGTATGATTGTTTTCAGGCCACTGTCACTCAACTTGAGTTTCTCCTTATTCACTGTCTCGGTCTTATTGACATTAAAATTTCTAATACCCCCCATTGAGCTTAATGTGAAGCTTAACACTACTGATGGTGTCCCTCTGGATGATCCAACTTTACATCGAGAGCTTGTGGGTTGCTTAGTCTATCTAACTGTCACTGGCCCTGATCTTACTTATGTTGTTCATGTGGTTAGCCAGTTCATTTCAACTCCTCGTTCTACACATTGGGTTGCTTTGGTTTGCATTCTTCGCTACCTACGTGGTACTATATTTCAGGGCTTACTCTTGTCATCTGCTTCCTCTTTAGACTTGGTGACTTATACTGATTCTAATTAGGCTGGTGATATTACTAATCGTAAGTCTACTTCTGGCTTTTGCATGTTTCTTAGTGATTCCTTGATTTCTTGGAAAAGCAAGAAACAAACTGTTGTTGCTCATTCTACTGCCATACCATGTTGTAGCTTGTGTCACTACTGAGATTGTTTGGCTCCGTTATCTCTTATTTGATTTAGGTGTATCTTAGTCTTCTCTGACCTCTCTTTGCTGAGACAATCGCAGTGCTATTTAGGTTGTCCATAGCACGGACGAAACACATTCAAATTGATTGTCATTTTGTGTATCAGCATCTGCAGTCTGGCTCTGTCTCGTTTCCTTTCGTCTCTTGAGCACTTCAACTTGCTGATTTCTTTACCAAGACTCACACCACTGCTCATTTTCAATTCCTTCTCTACAAATTCTCAGTATTTTTTGCTAAAACACTTTAAGTTTGAGCAGGGATGTGAAAATATTATGCTAATTATGTAAATTTATTAGATTGATTATGTAAATATTAGATTGATTATAAGAATATAAGTTTATTCTTATTTCCTTTTTTAGATTAGGTCTATATAATTCGGTTGTACTCTTTATATTATAGATAATTGAATACACAGATTATTATTCAAAAATTTACAGCTATCCGTACAGTTAAAAGGAGGGGATGTGAAAAAACCCAACTACAATAATAACAAAATCTTTTTGGGTAAGTAAGGAAGGAAAAACACAAGTATGATAGGAAATCCATTTGCTTAAAGGTCTTACATAAATCCAAATAAAAAGATGATTGGCATAAAAAGGTGGGAAGCACCATCATTGTCTATTAGGTAGTAGCAAAAAATTCTATACTTTCCACTTTCAAATGTTTCAAAAAAATAAAAAACATATGTATATGGCAATAGATATATATGGCACACATTCAAAACAACAAAACCTCCAACTGAACAAAAATGTCTGTGACCATTCGAGGGTACAGCTGTATCTAAGTTTTGCGGTGTTCCCACTTGCTTCATGAATCATGGTAGGATAGAGGTTCTTACAAGTGTTCAAGATGGTGGTTTTTATGAACAGTAACAAAGTGAGTACAAAGGCCAACCTTTTAAAAGGATATTGATCAGTGGCAAGTTTCTCATTCCCCGGCTCCTGTTGTTGGAATTAAGCTGCATGACGATCCATGCACCCAAGGTCACTGTAAGGAGATAGAAAATAAATTATAAAAGAACAGCATCACACAAAGAGAGAGAGAGAGAGAGAGATGATGCGCATATGATAAAGGGAAGGGGAACTCAGAAAGAGATTAATATAAATAATGAATTTGCATTAGTGTTAGTGTTAGAATACTTTTTAAGATAGGTGGGAACCCACCATGGAGGCTAGGCCTACGTTATAAAAGGCTTTTAACATGTAAGAGATCCTCACTAGTGTGTCCGTGTTTATATATTTGTGTGTTGTTTAGTTCACTTTGGGAAGCCAAGTTAAGAGCAACTGCTTTAACTTCTCTCCCTTTCCATCCCCACCCCAAATCACAACCGAAAACAGCATCAACATCATTTTAAGTTGGTTACACCCCTCCACCGTACAGTGTCAAAACCAGAAATTTGAAGCAGTGAAGCCATGGCAGGTCTGTCAAATGTGCCAGAAAACGGTACTGTACTGGAACCCCGTCATGCAGCTGTCCTCGCTTACCCTGTACAGATCAATTCACAATCCTTTCTACAACTGACCTTATTCCCCATAACTTTAAAGGTCTGTCTCTCTCTCTCTCTCTCTCTCTCTCAAGAGAGAGTTAAAAAATATTAATCTAGTTTCACTTGTCATATGTTAGAGGAGCATAAATAATCACAAACCCATTTTTTTTATTTGCAGTTTGAAGAGGTGGTTTACAAGGTTAGATTGGAGCAGAAAGGATCGTGCTGTGATGCAACATCGAGCTCCGTGGAGAAGACCATACTAAACGGGTTGACAGGTATGGTTTGTCCAGGAGAGATACTAGCGATGCTTGGCCCATCAGGCAGTGGAAAAACCACACTCCTTACTGCCCTCGGAGGTCGTCTTACTGGTAAGCTATCCGGAAAGATCACATATAATGGCCAGCCTTTTTGTGGTTCCATCAAAAGGAGAACAGGATTTGTTGCACAATACGATGTCTTATACCCTCATCTCACTGTAGCTGAAACTCTCCTATTCACTGCACTGCTAAGGCTACCCTCTAGCTTGGCAAAGGATGAGAAAGTTCAGCATGTAGAGCGAGTTATCACCGAGTTGGGATTAACTCGGTGCCGGAACAGCATGATAGGAGGGCCACTGTTTAGAGGGATATCAGGCGGGGAGAAGAAAAGGGTGAGTATAGGCCAAGAAATGCTAATTAACCCAAGCTTACTATTGCTAGATGAACCCACCTCAGGTTTGGACTCAACCACGGCTCAGCGGATCCTAACCACAATCAAACGGCTTGCCAGTGGTGGTAGAACTGTGATCACCACCATTCACCAACCCTCAAGCCGACTTTACCACATGTTTGATAAGGTAGTCTTGCTCTCTGAAGGCTGCCCCATCTACTACGGTCCTGCATCAACAGCTTTGGAATACTTCTCCTCAATTGGTTTTCCAACATCCATCACAATCAATCCGGCCGATCTCTTGCTCGATCTTGCCAATGGTAATTTCAAATTCTCTTTCTAATTTTTCGGCAGAAACTAATAACAGTACTTTCTCTTTATGTTCTTTGAGAAAATTTAAAGAAGAAAGTCCATATGTGCAGATTGGAACTGTCTTTAATTCGTCAATTATTCCAACCTTTCTTTTGTTTCCATCCACTAAGATACAAATATCACCTGGCCTACTGAAAGTGGAGGTTACAATTAAATCATAAATGAAAAAAAGAAAAAAAGAAGCAGTATACAGAGGCCCCACTCAACAAACATTCCAATGTTCAGCTTAGTATACAAAAGCTAAGTTTTGAGTCATTTGTAACTCTCATTAAGCATAATCAGATAATGAAATTCATGATAATGAAATTCATAATTCATAGTAGCACGATAACAATCGTGCACTACAAATCAGAACATATGTTGTATTGAAGACCATATGCTCACTTAATTACATCTTCTAATAAGAAAAGAAATGAAAAACAAAAATATCATAGTCTGATGAGAATTGTGATTTTTTTTTTTTATTACAGGAATTGGAACTGATTACAAGCACACAATCGAGCAAGGAGATAACACAGATCAAGAGCGGAAGTCAGTGAGGGATGCTCTCATCTCAGCCTATGACAAGAACATTTCTACGAGATTGAAAGCAGAATTATGCAGTTTGGAAGTCAATAACTACAATCTTACAAAAGATGCGTCCACAAGTAAGTTCCCTCCGTTCTCCCCTCTTTGAAAATAGCCATGCTATCGCAGTCCCTCAACTTCTGTAGCAAATGAATCAGCAAACCAGCTTCAACTCTCTCTCTCTCTCTCTCTCTCTCTCTCTCTCTCTCTCTTTTCTTCTAATTTTTGACTAGTCAATTTTTGACTAGTCTCAACTGTCATTTGGTTTTAAATGATGCAGGAAGCAATGTAAAGCCAGAGCAATGGTGCACAAGTTGGTGGCATCAATTCAAGGTGCTGCTTCTGAGGGGGCTGAGGGAGCGGCGATATGAAGCCTTCAATAAACTAAGAATCTTCCAAGTCATAAGTGTCGCTGTACTTGGAGGACTCCTATGGTGGCATACTCCAACATCCCACATTGATGATCGTGTAAGAATTTTGTATACATGTATACTATGATAGGGTACTTACATTAAATGAATTATTGGACTATTGTTTCATGAGGGTAGTTTTCATACTAAAAGCTACATTATGTGACTAGTTTAGACACCTCATTTCAATATCACACCACTTCAAAATTTTCCATTAGTCAAAAATCACTAATTCCTTCCTTCCAGTTCTATGTAACGTTTCTCGTACTCGGAAAACCTCAGGGAAAAATACAATTCAGAAAAGAAAATGACCACTTAAAAGATCCAAAGCTGTTTTAAACTTTAATTTCCTGTGGATGCTGAACAAGGGTTTCTTCTTTACCGCAGATTGCCATGCTTTTCTTCTTCTCTGTGTTTTGGGGTTTCTACCCTCTATACAATGCTGTTTTCACATTTCCCCAAGAAAGATCAATGCTAATCAAGGAACGCTCATCTGGAATGTACCGCCTCTCCTCCTACTTTTTATCCAGAACTGTTGGAGACTTGCCACTGGAGCTTGCACTGCCAACTGCATTTACCTTCATAATCTATTGGATGGGTGGGCTCAAACCCAATCCCGTCACTTTCATCCTTTCCCTTCTTGTTGTCCTTTATAATGTCCTCGTTGCACAAAGTCTTGGCTTAGCTATTGGTGCTATACTCATGGACGTAAAACAAGCCACTACTTTAGCCTCAGTTACAACCCTCGTCTTCCTCATTGCTGGGGGGTACTATATTCAACAAATCCCACCCTTCATAGTTTGGTTGAAGTACTTGAGCTATAGCTACTACTGTTACAAGCTCCTTCTTGGGGTTCAGTACAATGAGAATGATTATTACGAATGCACAAATGGAGCCTACTGCCGGGTTGCAGATTTTCCTGCTGTCAAATCAGTGGGTCTGAACAATTTGTGGATAGATGTGTGTATAATGGCCTTGATGTTGATGGGTTATCGGCTCGTTGCTTATTTAGCATTGCACCGGGTGCAGTGAGGTAAGTTTTGCAGTGCACAGCAGAGTCTGACAGAGAGACAGAAAGCAGATGAAGATGAAGTTTCACAGTGGAGAATTTCGTCAAAGAACACAGTTTGAAGAGTTTTCTATTTCTTCAACTGAGGAATAATGTTAGATTTAGATGCAAAATAATGTTACCAGATTTTGATCAACTTACCAGAGTTAGAACTTAGATGTATCACCCTTTGGGTGTCAGTTAAAATAATACTAACTTGGAAATTTTACTTCTCTTTAGAATAAATCCATAACATTATAAATTGGTCACATATGCGTAATAAAAAGGGAAAGAAAAGAACACATTCATTTCAGATTACAAGAAAAAGAAAAGAAGAGTAAATAACAGACCTAAAGTCACCTCTCTGGAGAACTAGATTCTTTATCTGTGGGGCATTTGAAAACCAAATGGCTTTAAATACATAGTTTCCTGCAAGTGCATTAATAACATTACGAAATCACTGTCAGAAAATTGAATACTTTATGGAGCACGTGATGGTGATATATGAAAAAATTGGCCAAATGAGTAGAATATAGGTTTTATAGTTCCTCTACAACCACCCAACCCCCCATCGAGCAAGGAGATAACACAGATCAATAATGTGATGTTTTTGTAACACAAAAAGAGTTTAAATTCAGTTTGATTTTAATCAACTAGTCAAAGAGCTAGAACCTTTCGGGTGCCGATGAGATATCTATGAGCATCTTCGCATGGTCGTGTTATCCATGAGATATTCTTTGTCAAATAATGGTGAACAATGAATGATTAAGAAGGTAAGAATAGAAAAGGTTGCAACGGAATTTTTTTTTCATTCTTTTTCCTATAATACAATTCATTATTATCATTAACACATAGAACAGAAGTTGCACCTCAATTTACTGTTCTTATGAATTTTATCAACAATCCATTAAATCCTAACCTATAAAATACAATTGATATAATTAACTGGAAGTCCAATTGACATAAAATTCAAAAAAAAAAAAAAAATGGTGATGTTATCATGCTAGACCGTAGATGATTAGACTGGAACATCATAACTGCAACAAGTGAAATATGTCTACCTATCCATGACCGGTAACAGAATGTCCAGCACAAACACACTTAAGGATGGAGGCCCATGCAAACAACAATAATGATACTTAAAATCCATGTCACTTCCTACTTCAGTATTCTTCACTATTCATGCCATATTTTTTATTTTTAAAATAATGGAAAATGACAATAACTCTGTACTACACAGTCCTTTTAATCTTATAAGGCTTGTGTTTTTCCTAAGCAGCTTAAAGAGATACAGAAACTTCAGTATGCCATAGCACTGAATAATAAAACCTCAATGAACAAGGCAACTAAAGTTTGCCACATCATCATGTGTAAGCCCATTGTGGAGATGTGGTTTGGAAATACCCTTTGGCCCAAGCAGACTCTCTCGATCCTCGAGTTTATACCTGAAATGGGAATGAACAATCCGGTCGGGGGTGCTAGAATTAGCACTCCAACAGGCAAGTTAATATACACTCGAGTCTTTCTTATATTTCAAGTTATCGTTTTCTTACATCCCTCCTCTCTGATGCTCCTCCTCTTTTATATTACTCTTCTGGGGCCCATTTTCTGATTATGGACACCCTGCCCTGACAGCTAGATTCCCAATCATTCGGTAGAATTTATGGCCTATTTGGCCCTCAATCTAGTTCTATTCGGCCACGGCCGGCCCACTTCACTCGTCTTCTCGGCAATCCTATCCTGAGGGTAAAGCCATTACGAGCCGACTTACACGCGACTCCTATTTGTATACGACATTTTAAACTCGACTCCCACAATTGCCTCCCAAACATCCGAATAAGTTCTTTATGGTCGGCATGTTTGGTTAACATCTCGGAGACCATATCAGACTTGAAAGTCGAAAATACGTAGTTGCACTTTTTGGAACTGGCTCATCAGAACAGGCACGATATTTTAATCATTAGAGCTTGTTACCCCTTTGTATTTGACAATCATTTAATGTTCTATTTGAAAACCAGCCCTCCGTATATTCTTGAATCAAAAGGCTCTCAATCTACTTTGGCACCCTTCACACCAACCTCCTTAAGGGCTTCTGCACTTCTGCTTCCCATTGTTCATCTTCTTCTTTGACCTGTAAATTTCACTCCCCTTTCTCTTCCTGCTCTCATTCCAGTCCACTGTTGTGTTTTGTCTTTTTTTTGAAGTGTACATTTTGTTTGTATTCCGTTTTAAATGGCGAGGCATTTGAAAGCCCTCTTCTCAGAGGAACGAATTGCAACCTTCCGTCGTCATTTTTCCATCCCAGACGACGTCCACCTATCCCTTGTTTTAGACAATGTGGTGGACATGGAGAGGGCTGACACAAGCACCATTAACTTTCCTCTTTTGGCAATTGCTAAGGGTGGAGTTCGATTCCTCCTCCATCTTCTTCTTAGGATAGTCCTGCGCTACTGGGGATTAATTCCCTCCCAGCTAAACATGAACTTCTACCGAATAATCATGGGTATAGTGGAATTGAATCGCCGACTAGGTCTTAACCTAGGAATCCCAACCATACGACACTACTACGTTATGGCGAAATCAACCGGTTGGCAGGACCGTTACTTTTTAAGAGCCAAGGACGTCGACTATCATTTGGTAACCATGCTCGCCAGCTTTGGCAAAAGGGTTGATGATGTCATGGTCACCGTCTGAGGCAATTGAGAATTCGGCGAGGGAGGAGATCGCCAAGACCCAGTGCCAAGGCAAAAGGGCGAACCAGGTGGCCGGCTAGAATTGCTAGTATGTCTTAAAATGAACGGTTTATTCGGCTTAAATACTGTGCTGATTACTTGTGTTTCTTGCAGGCAACGACTTGAAAAGAGCATTGACATCGGCGGACGAAGCTGTTTTGAAGTAGGTTAAGGCAGTCCTCAATTACAAAGGTCGTGCAAACCTTCAAGGACAAGGGCGTGCAACCCATGTTTTACTGAGATACAATCCAACTTATTCCACTTTCTCGGCCGTAGATAATATCCCTATGCCGACACACGAATGACAACTTACTGCACTTATCTTTCCTAGCTACAAAAGTCTAAGGGATATTGGTGTTGAGGGTTCCGACGCCGGTGAAGAGGTTGGTGAAGACGCACAATCAAAGGGTCGGGCAGAGGACCAGGAGTTGAATAGAGAAATTGAATTGGCGTTTGAGCATATCGACCCAAACCATTGCACCGATCTCCCTTCCACTTCTAGCCGAGTAGACTTATCTGTTCTAGAGGACGATATCTTTACCGGCTTAGAAAATCTTCCTAGGGCCGAATCCGAAGCCGAAGAGATGAGCAGAGAATCACTTGCCCAATTTTCCAGGCAACGAAATGCAGAGAAGATAGCGGCCAGAAGGCAAGTCGGCGGGTTTTGGGGGAGTCAAATAACGCCAACTCGTGAGGTGCGTCAAGAAGAAACGACCTGCGAAACAACTGTGGCCGAGTTGGTTTCTAAATAGAATCAGGTAGAAGTCCTGGGAGCCGATCTGACAGGGTAGAAACGACCTATCGAGACCTTGATCGAATTATTAAAGGCATCGATCGAGAAACGGCCAAGGGTGGATACGTCGCCTGTCGAAGATGATTTAGCCGAGGCATTCATCATCCAACCACGGATGAAGAATGCGCCGGTGCTTACCAATGGGTTGGTCATCAGAGATCCCGCCGTGGCCCTGAGTGTGGCTTCAGCGCTCTCGCTACCCGCAGACCGAGCAACTTTCCGTGCCGAACCGAATGTCATCTCGATTGCCTTTGGTAAGTTATTAAAACATCCAAAATTTCCCAATAGCTTAAATACTTGTTCCTATTCAAACTGATGTCTTGCCTTCATTGCTTTTCCAGATGGCAGGAAGTATCACAAAGATCGGCTGTCATCACTACGACGTCATAGAGCAATTCGGCGTCCTTGAATGCCAGTTAGAAGAAGAGAAGGGCAAGGCCATTGTGGCAATCGCCAATTTGTCTACAACAACGGCAAAGGCCGAAAAAGAGCAGGTAAGAGCAGTTACTGCTCAAGAGAAAGCTCAACATGCTGATCTGCTGCACAGGGCTACCGAAAAGAGGGCTAACTTGATAGACGGCTCTCTAAAGTCGGTTCAAGAAGAAATCTCACAGCCAAAGGCCGATCTTGAAGCAGAGAAAAGGGCGAGGGAGCTTGCTAAGGCAAACGCGGCCAAAGCCTTTGATGCCGACGAGCTGAAGGCCAAAGAGTTGTACGCTGATGAAGCCTTGAAGTTCGAGAATCGAGGCTTCAAGCATGAATGGCTCAAAGCTTTGGTAGCCGCCAAGGTGACTCTCGATCAGCCGGTTCCCTATGAGTAATTAAAAGTCAAACCGCTAGAATCAGATCCAGAGAATTTGGACTTTTGATCGGCCATTTTTGTAATAGATAATTTCCTCTGCCTTTGTTTTGTTAGCTTTTGTTTCCTTTGCCTTTTTTTTTTTTTTGTAATAAATAGTTTCCGCTGCCTTTGTTTTGTTAGCATTTGTTAGCACTTTATTTTGGACTTAGGCCATTTTCATGTATAAAGTAAATGTACTCATGTAGTTTATTAATGAAAATGCCCGTTTCGCGAATGAATGTGAATGTTTAAGCATTGAGAAACTAAAATGTGCCATATCACCATAAAAATAAAAACACGAAAGAAATGGTTGCAGAGCCGAATAGATTAATAAATCTAGAAGCCATATAGGTTAATAAATCTGTCATAGCCCCAGTTAAGCACTGAGCATAACCGAATACATGGACGAAGCATGTTCATGGGGTCAGATGGGACATTGTACTAATTCGGCGAAATGTTTGAAGAGAAGCCGAATAGATTAATAAATCTGCCCTTCATAACCACCGAATACATGGACGAAGCATGTTCATCGGGTCAGGTGGGGCATTGTACTAATTCGGCAAAATGTCTGAAGAGAAACTGAATAGATTAATAAATCTGCGCCGAATACATGGATGAAGCATGTTCATGGGATCAGGTGGGGCATTTGTCGTAATTCGGCAAAATGCTTGAAGATAAGCCTAATAGATTAATAAATCTGCCCTTGCCCCAGCTGATCACTGAGCATAACAGCCGAATACATGGATGAAGCATATTCATGGGATCAGGTGGGGCATTTGTCGTAATTCGGCAAAATGCTTGAAGATAAGCCTAATAGATTAATAAATCTGCCCTTGCCCCAGCTGATCACTGAGCATAACAGCCGAATACATGGATGAAGCATATTCATGGGATCAGGTGGGGCATTTGTCGTAATTCGACAAAATGCTTGAAGATAAGCTGAATAGATTAATAAATCTGCTCTTGCCTCAGCTGATTATAACCGCTGAATACATTGGATGGCAGCGGCAACCGCAGGCGCTTCGTAATTGTTGCAACCGTAATTAATAAGTAAGGTGGCCAGGTGTGTGGGGGGCATGTGGCCTCTTTAAATGGAAGCTCTCAGACTTAACTGAACGTAAGAGAGAAAAGAGCATTGCGTCGATTGGAGTAAGATTTGTATATCCAGAAGGGTATTCTTCAACAGTAAG